TGATGTTACAGCCAGATTAGCAGGGGTGATTATGCATAACAGAGAGGATCCTGTAATTCCAATAGGTGCCAGCAAATGGCCATCAGTTGAATTGTCATCCCTTCCTTTGGCCACTTCTATGTCATCCTCTGACGCTAAACCAAGGAAGCCTGCACTTTTGCTGATTAGCAACATCAGTTCTGGAAATAGAACATCTTGTTCTCACCAGTCTTTCATTAGTGAGAAAACGAGAATAACATCATCAGTATAATTTCCTACTCGATTCCTTTCCTTCTATGGCTATGGATCGATGACATTACTATCATTTCCTTTGGTAATGAAAACCATAAAGGATTTTCGGAAAGGAGAATCTGATTAAAGATTGGTTCCTGCAAAGAACTTTCAGAATGCCCTGAAGTGGCTTCTGGAGGAATGTCTGGCAGATGATCACTTGGTGTTCTACTTCTCAGGACATGCAATCAGAGTTCTAGCAACCTGATTTCAATGTCGATGCCTCAACTAGGAAAATCAGAATTCAGAGTTCTAGCTAAATGTTATCAAGAACACACCAGAAGATCCTCATAATGAAGATATTTATGATTTATAAAATAAGACAAACAAAGATAGTATGAAGTAGAATTGCAAGTACAAGGTAATGGTAACTCAAGGTTCATGTGGTCTCGCTCTTGTAATTTACAAGGCTAAATAAAGAAAAGAAAAGGCATGAACAACAATTTCACCAAAAGAAAATACGCGGGGAAGGAAAATACGATGAAATCTTTATACCCATAAATGCAATGCCAAAAAGTCCAATTGCTGTAATCTATTACAATCCCCAATGTCCCCGTCATTCCAATGTTGATGCGTCTAATCCATCCAAGGATTCTTGGATCGCTTTTCAGTTGATTTCAATGTCAGGGATGTGAGCTATCTTAGGCCAGTCCTTTCCTCTCTCTTTCTCACACCTTTTCTCCAAATTTGGACAATCGTAGATCACTAGAGATAGGAGAGAAGTGAGATGTTGGATACTATCTGGCATTGACTTCAGCTCTGGACATCGATAAAGCCCCAAATACTCAAGTGCGGTCAGATGTCGCACTCCCTCAGTTAGGTATGCAAATTGATTACAACCTTGAATCACAAAGCGACGAAGAGAAGATAAGCCACACAGCCCATTCATTGGCAAAGAATTTAATCTTCCACAATCAGCTATGTGTAAAACCTCCAGAGTTCTCACACCTTTTCTCCAAATTTGGACAATCGTAGATCACTAGAGATAGGAGAGAAGTGAGATGTTGGATACTATCTGGCAATGACTTCAGCTCTGGACATCGATAAAGCCCCAAATACTCAAGTGCGGTCAGATGTCGCACTCCCTCAGTTAGGTATGCAAATTGATTACAACCTTGAATCACAAAGCGACGAAGAGAAGATAAGCCACACAGCCCATTCATTGGCAAAGAATTTAATCTTCCACAATCAGCTATGTGTAAAACCTCCAGAGAAGTGAGGTTCCGAAGACCTTCCTCTGGCAAGCTTTCAAGTTCATCACACCACTGAATCGACAAGCTTTTAAGAGCAGAAAGGTTATCTAATACCTTATTTGACAAAGATTGTAGATTTTGCAGATAAAAAATTCGTAAATCCTCAAGGAGTGTATGATTTTGCAATAACCCATCGGGAAGCTCCCTCACGTTGGGAATCCATGAAATATGAAGAGAAGTGATAGAAGCGAGATTCCGAACTGACATCAGTAATGAAACATTCCCTCCCTGGATATCTAATTTTTTGATAGAGGGTATAGTTGGTATTTCGTTCAACACAGGGCAGTCAACTATGTTCAATTCTCGAAGGCGAGGAAAAGTACACGCAGCCCATTGCTCTAATCTCTCCATTGAATCGAAAGTCAGCGTCTCCAAAGATGGGAATGGATCTTGCTCATCTCCATACACATTGTTGTCAATACACTTGACACCATCCATTGCATGTAACTTAAGATTCTTGAGGAACTGCAGTTTCCCGAACGGTGGAAGTTGTTCACAGTTATGACATGCTTTTAGCTCCATCTCCACTAGATTTGGTAGCATCAAGTTCAAGTTCATCATCCAATTATTTGGAAATTTTGAACCACCATATCCAACTAACCTCAACTTCTTCAGATTTGAATGAGGCTGAAGTCCTTCAAGGACCTCCTGCTCATTATTTGGTAGTGAGCGCATAATGTAAGCTCCATTCACTTGCCATGATAATGTCAATGATAGAAGAGCTGCCTTCAACTTCAAATTGGCAGTTCTGGCATCTGTTGAATTCTTAACATTATCAAGATCTGTGATACTCAATTCACCAGCAAGATTATTCAGCCTTTCCAGCTCCCCTATGAAACGACCATCCTCCTTGCCCACAATGAACAAGGTAAGTTTTCGCAGGCATATCAATTGCCCCATTCCACAAGGCATAAATCGAAGTGAATGGCAACCCGTGATGTCAAGATATACGAGACTTTTCATCTGCTTCATACCTTTCGGTAATTGGATGAGTTCTCTGCAATCTCTCAGATGTAGTGTCTGGAGGTTTTGGAGAGAGGTTATACATTCAGGCAGTGTTATGATCCAGGAGCCTGACACATCTAGATACCTTAGATGTTTCAAATCACAAATTGACTTTGGCAATTTCTTCACCCGGACGTTTCTTAAACTCAAGGCTCGATGTTTTTTACTAGAAGAATACATATTAAGGCTCTTTCCCCATCGCTTTTGAATCCAATCATAATCCACCAAAAGACATGAGCGCAGTGAATGGACATTGAGAAGTTTTTCTTCCGGAGGAGCTACTTGTCTGTGGTTAAAAGCTACATGACGAACAGTTTTAGGAATTTCCAACTCCTCATGGCCTTCGGTGTTAAAGCATTCTTGTACTGCAATGGATTGAGCAAGATCGTGCATAAGATCATGCATTTTACATGTTATGTTGCCAAATCCATCATCCTCGACCTCTTGCAGAAATGACCTTCCCGCTAGTTCATTGAATATCTCAATACCCATGACGTGCAAATCCATTTCTTTTTTGCAAGAAATAAAACCATTTGCCATCCACAAAGCAACCAACTCCTCCCTCCTCATCACTTGATCTTTTGGAAATATAGCGCAATACGCAAAGCATTGCTTCAAATGTGGTGATAGATTAGTGTAACTCAACCTCAAAGCAGGTAAAATCTTGCTTGCTTCTTCTCTTAGATCCCAAATCTCACTTTCTTTGACAGCTATCCACTGATCTTCATTATCTTTAAGCCGCATTAGGTTCCCGAGTGCCTTTATAGCTAAAGGAACACCACCACACTTCTTCACTATTGATACTCCAATGGCTTCCAGGTGTGTCCACTCCTCTGTCCTTCTCATCCAAAATGCAAGCCGTTGAAACAAATGCCAAGAATCTTCTTCAGACAATCTCCCCATTTGCTGGACAAAAGCTGTTGCCATTCTACGAGCAACCATCTCAATGCGCGTAGTTACTAACACAGCACTACCTTTAGCTCCGGACCTTAATACCTCTTTCAATTTATTCCACCTATCATCATAATCATCCCACACATCATCTAATACAAGCAAAAACTTTTTTCCAGTTAACTTTTGTTGGAGGCGTTGTTGCAAGGGATCCGATTCTTGAATATCACATGAAGCACCATCAATGGACTCTATGATGGCTCTTGTTAATCTTCTTACATCGAAATCAGTAGATACGCACACCCAGATCCTCAAACTGAAATGTTGTTTAACCCTTTTTTCATTGTAGACCATTTGTGAAAGTGTTGTTTTCCCGAGTCCCCCCATTCCCCATATAGCATAAATAGGGAGATTGTCTGCATTTGTGAGCAGGATGTTGACTAGTTCTTCTTTCTCCTTGCCTCTTCCATAAATTTCTGATTCATTCACGAGTGAGCTGGTAAGCCGCCAATCGTAGGTATCAGCTGCTGTGTCCCCAACTCGTGGTGTCAAATTGAACTTGTTTTTCTCATTGGCAATGGCATCCAGTTTTTCTCTCACATTTTTCAATTTAAGCGCCATTTTCAATCGAAAAACTAGTGGATTATGACCAAAAGAAAAGAAGGATCTTACTCGATTTTTGAGATCTCTTCGCTGCAGAAGCCACTGAGCTTCAATTGCAAACTCATCCAGTACATCATCAACAACATAAGCTGCATCCTTGAGGTCGCTGAGCCACACCTTGATAGGCTCACTCTTCCACTGCTTCTCCTCTGCATCTTGCAGCACAGCTTGAATGGTTCTAAACGTGCGCTTGAGATTTTCAAGCTCGGTCCTTAGGCCCCCTGCAAGTCCAAGCTCTTGAAGAATTGGGGAACTCAAGTTCCCCATGATTGTACTCGCGAGAGCAGAAAGAATTGCATCCGCCATAGATTGTTGAGAAGAAGTAGAAAAGGTGCAAGGAAAACTAAAAGCAGGGGATGTGAGCAAGAAATGGTAAGTAAATATGAGAAATGGAAAGGGTGAAAGTGTTTCGTGATGGGATTTACTTCTGCTATCGATCTCTTTTTATTACTGATTTTAGTGTGGTGGTTCAATTTTATCAAAATATTAAAACCGCAGTCTCTTTAACTATACTGATGAGGCTCCACTCGGTGCAGACTTGACTAGCCATGCCTGTCTGTATTAAAGCTTTGAAGTTTCTGAGAAGCACCACGCCTGTGATTTGAAGACAACATTCCACCTTGATTTTTCCGGCACTTGCCAACCCGCGTGCTGGTGTTGAATAAAATATAAAGTCTCTATCAAACTTGTATATTTAAAAAATAATAATTGAATATAATTTTTGCTAGTGTTGAAATCTATAACCATGGGTTCATGGAACACAGAAACGAGTTCTTAAATCATATTATGCCTTCAGGTTCTTTGACAATTGTAGATTAAAGTATCATTTTTACTTTAAGGGTGCGGGTGCTCAACGTAATAGGAAGAAAAATGAATAAATTTTTTATTTTTTTCCCCTTTGGTTTTACATTTCGGTTTGACTAAAAAATACATTATCAATCCTTGTATTTTTTTTTTTGGTTAATTTGGATTGTTTTAACAAGTACTACTACTAACAACATTATTTTGCTTGAGATTCTCATGGCTTCCACAGGATGGTGGTTTCTACAATCATGGAAGTCGCAACATATAGATCCATGTTTGAAGCAGGCCTTATGTCCTCATAATACCCCTTTCCTTCTTTCTCTATGTCACGGCCAACACAAATGGAAGCTTTGCGATTAGCAAAACCCTGTCAATCGGACAAGATGTAAAGAAACTAATGTAAGACATCTTATAATAAGAGAACTTAAGCACTAAGGAAATTGTTTCTTTTCCCTCTTACCCAATCGAAAGTACTAATATCCTCTGTTTCGTGCCTTCGTCCGGTAAGTCTCTGCTCAATCCCTTTCTCCATAAAATGCAATTTGTTCTTTATGCCTCAGACCAAGCTTTTCAATTGCTTTCTTGATGACTTCATAGCCTCCTTCATTTCTCATAGACATAGCACTGAAAATATGAAGAATTTTCAAGTATAAAATAAAAAAAAATATCAAGTGTGGAATAAAGAAGCAAATAAATTAAGCTTCAATCAACGATACAAATTCGAACCTGTAATTTTTGTGTGCTCCCCCTCCTTTCCAATCTTCTTGACAAAACAGAAGTCCGATTTCCTGAGAGCTCAGACGATAAAAGTACTGAAAACATGCACATTGGCAGCATCCAGTAGGGTACGATGAAATAAAAATTGACCTGAATTGGCTTAGGATCGAATGAAAGCACAACACCAGCAACCTCAGTTATCCTCTGTTAACATAAATATAGACATTTCAGAAAACAATAGAAATTGGAATAGTTCTACCATCTTCTGTATTCAAGTACCTCCAGTATGTAACGAGCTGCAGCCCGTAATTCATCTCCAACAGAGATACCGAATGAAGGGCCAGCTTGAAATTTCCACTGCATGAAAATGAAGATGGTTTAACATTGTAAAACAGAACAAGATTAGAATGGTTCTAAACTAGAACTGTAAGATCAAAATGGTGAAGGGATATGCTCGTTCTTTTACTTTACCTCGCCCGACATCACTTCTCCGTTCATACCACCAATTTTCATACCGGCATGCCGTCTACTGTGCATCAACAATGCCGAAGGCCTCGTCAACACCAACACCACAGTAGTATGGTCCCCGAGGACCAGGATAACCACCAAGAGACCAACCAATGGGCCATTTAACATCGTTCTGCAGCTAGATCTTTCTTGCTCAAGGTCATTCCTGGTTTTTTTATCAGATTTCTCATTAATCATAATTATAAAACACTTTGCAGTTATCTTATAAGAAAAGAGAACGAAGAAAGCAAGGGTGGATTAGGATAAAAAATAAAATAAAATACCATAGCCCTTCAGCAACAACTTCTGGAGTTTAAGCTTCACATATGACCAATCCAATAAACATCAACATCGGAGAGAATGACTTCACGCTATATCAAGTGGAAAGATATAAGGGAACAAAATTGCAGTCACAAGGATGGTATTGCCCCTCTTAAACGGATCTCTGAAAATAGATTGTGGCCTGTTTCATTAAATAAAGGAGGTGTGAGTTCAAAAATATTTAAAAATTAACAAAAAGAAAGCAACATAAAAAAAACTAAAACAGATTTGGAATTCACTGCCCACACAGACTAAAAGAGGTGTGTGTTTATTATTTTAACATTAAAAAACTCATTTACATTATTTTCGGGATTCCAATTGTAATTGGACATCTCTTTCATTATTAATTTGATTAGGACCTAGAACGTGTGTGTGTGTGTATACAGTGTAATGACTTTGATGCCCTTGATATGCAATAAAAATGACTTCAATTGAGGGGTAATTTTAATTTTTCAATTACAAAAACATAATGAATTAACTTTATTGCCCTTTAAAACAAACATATTTTAACTATGGTCTTAAGGTTACTCGTATTTTCTTTTTGGTCTTTTGGTAATCATAAGGTCAAGACAAGGGCGGGTCTGTTTTCTACTTTCCAAATGAACAGTTTATTTACTTAATTACCTCTCAAGTCAAGATTTTTTAAACTAGCGTTAAAGGGTTTATTTGTCTTTTCAGTTTAGATATTTTGTAATTTTGGGTTAAGAGATGGGCAATTTGATATTTAAAAAATAATATTTAAAGAAGAATTATAGATAGTGCATTTTATTCACGGGTGGCACGTGCAGAGAAGATGAAATTGCTTATTCCTCAAAGATAGTGTTAGAAAGATGACAACATTTTTTTTTTTAATCTTTATACGCTTTGTATTCTTTTTTTTTTAAGATTTTTTAAAAATTATAACTATCTTGTGCATGGTTGTAGGCCGATTAGCATAAACCTCGTTTGAGTTTTTTTTTTTTTTTGTATTCTCAATTTATTTTTATAACACCTTTGTTAGTATTCTCAATTTTTTGAGATGAAATGTATTTTTTCTATTCAATTTATTTTTATAACACCTTTGTTAGATTGAAATGTATTTTTTCTGTTTTTTATTAATATTTTTTTTTATCTTTGTACGCTTTGTATTCTTTTTTTTTTTTTAAGGTTTTCTAAAAACATCATAACTACCTCTCGTCAATACAAAGCGAACAATATGTCGCTCCAAACGTCATCACATATGACTGATTTTGGTTACTAGATGATCTTGTATGTGCTAACACATGAATTACACACGTCAACAGTTTTTTATAGTATTTATTTTTAAAAATTACCAAACAACCCCTAGGTTAACCTAAAAATAAAAAAAAAATAACAAACCCCCCCTTTGGAACTATATTTATAAATTTTTTTATTTTAAAGACAATTCTGTCACTTCACCATTCTTAAAATTAAAATAAAAAGATATTTAAGTTGTAAAGAGAGGATTCATCACCCTAGATGAATTAAAAAATATATATTTTATCTGTTTTCAAATAATATTGACTGAGAAATTCTTAATTAAGGTGGAATGAAATTTGAAAAGAGTTTAAAATCTTATTTAAACAATCAATGACTATTATATAGAGAATAAACATGATTTAACATAATAAACATACTCCATGCTTTAATGTTAAATTAAAACATTATTGATGAAATGATATTAATTATACTGAAAAACTATTCATTAAAAGGTTAAGTCAAATCACTAATGATTTTTTTAATATTTAGAAAATCAAGACACTTTAATAGATGATACACCTTGTTTTCAAATATAAATTAATCAATTATTGAATTAATAGTAAATTAAATTATTTTATTTAATTATTTTTATTTAATTATAATTTATATTTGCACTAATATATTAGAAACTTAATAGTTCACACACATTAAAAATCATTAGGTAAAAATTAAACTGAAATAATTTAATTAAGTATAACTTGACTAAAATATATTTTAGAAATTAACAACTAGAATATAATTAATATAAAGATTATATTTCTAGATCTAGAAAAATCAAGTAGGAACTTGATTAGGTTGATTTCTAAAATTATCCTAAATTAATATATAAATATTATTCAAGAAGCAAATTGATATTTTATCAATTATAAAGCTTCTCAAATTTTCCTATAAATAGTAAATTATACCTTTTATTTAGTGTAGTTATCTGTTAGATAAAAAAAACCTATGTAAACATAATATTAGAACTAACACTCTAAACATAACAATCTTTCTTTTTTATATAGAGATTTATGAGATTTTTTACGGATAGTTCATGTGAATTATCATTAAAAACTAAACAATTAAACAGCTTGTAATTTACAACAATCCAATCTTTAAAAAATTATTTAAAACTAAAAAAAATTATATCTTTAAATAATAAATTTCTAAACTCTAGATTTATCAGATTTTAGAAACTACCGTATAACTTTATTTTTTAGTTTTCACTGCTTGTATAATATTCAAAAAAAAACTAACTTCACAAAAAGTGTAGTCCATCTAATTTTAATGCACCACTATACTCCTCACCATCGGCCCTCTTGAAATGTTCATCTCTTTCAACCTTCTCTTTCTCCATCTACATTTTTGCAACATTCGACTTGTTTTGGTTATGCTGAGAAGGTGCATCAGGGTTTTAGGCCAAATGGGTCAAAATCTCCTCTTTTTTCACGGTATAACTGTCTGACTTTGAAGACCACATTAATGATCAATTCCTTGATTCCATCTCGTCTACGTATCAGCTGTTGCCAAAAGTAAAATCACATACGGGAAACAACCTACTGGTAATGTAGGCATAAAAGGCCACAAACTAAGGGCTATTTATTTTTCAAACATATCAAAAGCAACCAGAAAGTTTAGTAACATTTCCCTTGCCTATTTTTAGAAGTCAAATTCGAAACCAGAAACAGAAAGCTTATTGGTTTTTTTTTTTAATAAAGACATGAAAAGCCAACAGTCCATTGTCGAAATACCTCAAAACCAAAGTGGTTGACAAAAATGATAACAATGAATTCATAAGCTTGATTGTATTCAAACCCAATCAAGTACTCTGTTTCCAGAAACTGCGAAGGATACCAAACCCCTTACTTTTTGACGAAGGCAACCCCATCCTATGAAAATAACCAGTATTGAATGTAGAATCTAGACTGCAGAGACAATCAGCAAGTGGGAACAGGATCACTACACTAACAGGAAAAAATGTTTCTGCTTTTAGTTCAAGGATCAAACTTGAAATTTCATATTCCATTAAAAATTATAAATTTGCTCTTTGCTTTCAACAACGTAAATAGAACAAGAAAATCCCTAGTATCTAAAGATACAATCTATGATGGTAACTGCAAGTAATCATAGAAACCATATCCTGTGCATTTGTAAGGCTCAGCAACTTATACCACTGGATTTGAATTATGGTTGAAACAGAAACACTACTATGTAATATATTAATTACGAGGGCAATAAATCCAATCCTGGTCAGTTCCAACAACCAGGCCCAAATACTACCTAGAGACTGCATCAGCATTGAAGTCAGAATGAGCATTGTAGTAGTATTGCAGAGGTTCTGTAGCGTACCTTGGGCCAGTCTTCAGAGCTAAAATGTCTACATTTCTTTTCAAGACTTCAGCTTTTTATCTCCATTTTGTGGGAGGCTAGGAATTTTTTTAAGATCACTGCTAGAGGTGGCAACTATAGAAGTAACCATCTGGGGTGGTTTGGCAGTTGCTGGAACTTTAACAACCCCATTGCTAAAGGGTCCCTGTTGACTCCCTGTTCGAGTTCTGGTATTTGCTAAACCTGTGCTGGGTGGACCTTTTTCATTCCCCAGCTCAGTTCTGGCTAATGATGAACACTTCGTTTCTGTTTAAATTTCACAATATTTGAAGCAATTAAAAGATATAATTCACTAATTATAAGAACATAGATCACAACTATGAATTTGAAATTCATGGCACCTTACAGTGGTGCAGCTAAAGACAACCCTTGTAATCAGAAAGCCCAAACCATCACAATTGACTAACGGAAAAGGTAAGTTACATAACATGTGGCATATGTAATTACAAGCTGATTGCAGTTAATGGCACATCCACAGGGGTAAACCCTAAAGGCAAGTTACATAACTAGTAGCATATGTAATTACAGTAGCTGATTGTAGTTAATTGCACATCCACAGGAGTACACCCTAAAGGTTTGACCTTCCAACTCCAACTATGGAGGTCCTGAGTTCAAAACTTCAAAGCCAATGGAGAACATGTGTATGGTTTAAGGGGTGGAAAAGGGCTATTCCTATTGGAACCCTAGGCCCAATGCTCCTCCTAATGTAAGAAACAAATTCTAGCAAATGCAACTTTCTGATTGCAAAGAGGCTATTTGTCTTTTGGACACTATGAGAAAACAAGTATCTATAACTTCCATTAAGGTGATATATTTTCAAATTTAACAAAGTAACAATAAGAATTAAAAAGTAATGTTTATTTTGGAGAAATGTTTGATAAAATAGACAACTTAGCAATATGTATTAGGACATACTAGTTTCTTGTCATTAAACGTGAATATATCATCTAAAAATTCTAGACCTAGCATTTCCCTTTTCTAGAGCCATTAGTGTGTACAAATTTGGCAAAAGGAGAGGAACTTGCCTTTTATTTCCCCGAATGTGATGAGCCTATTAAGGCAATCTCGAAACTTCGTTAAAACAATTCTTTCTTGCTCTGCATGAGCCTCTGTCATGCCTTGTCCACAAGGCAGTTGTGAAGAACTGTCGTAGCCATGGCCCATCAACCCATTGGGGGAAGCAGCAGCCATAAAGATTGTATCTTGTTCATCGCACATCAATGCCAAAGTCCCAGGAGACATTGGCCTTCCTTTTGGCATATCAACACCATCTAAGCTGGAATCGTCAAGGCCTCCTTCATTAGCATGGTTTGCACTCGAACAATCATTAGAAACAATTTTATCAGCATCAAATTCCTTCTGGCTCTGCAACCTTTCTTGGGTAGATGAAGCAAGAAAAGTGTCTCTTTGATCTTCTACTTGCTTTTTCATTGAATTTCTTTGGTCTGGACATACAAGAATTTCAAAGGAAAGCCCAATCATTAGATATTGGTTCAGTGCTCACATTTCTTGTTTCATAACATGTCAACATTCTCAAAGATCACCCATTTGTCAGACCAGCTATAGCTCTGCACAATTCAGTGTTTATTTTTCAAGAATAGAATAAGGCTACAGAGCATTAACATATTTACAATGGACAAGTAGTTGCACTTTTTTGTATATCTAATTAGTTAGGAGTGCTTGGTTTACCATAAAAAATTTGCAAATAGTAACAAATATGAAGCTGACTGCTTCTCACATGGTGGAGGAAATGTAATAAACTACATCAAGTCCCAGCCCCTCCTGTAGCAAACCAACTTTTTGAAAATCTCAGACATAGAGGTTTAACAAGCTAACCCTGGGAACATAGCTCAAAAATATGAGCAGTAGCAAACCAAACTGGACACAGAAATCACAGATAATCCAGTCAGTTTTGAAAATACACATTCAGAAGAAAGTTGCCGGCTTGAAAAGAGCAGAATATTAAGGACAGGGAAAAGAAAATATAAAAAAGTGCAGACATGCATGGCCACAAGCATCTCATAAAACTTTTGGAGACCAAGAAGGGATGGAGCATGGGAACAGAACACTTGTCACATGGAGTATTGAGTGGAAAGCAGACATGGAAGATATCTTCTGTTGCAGGTGAATAATGGAGCAACCTGCACGAGAATTTGTTGGGGGGGTGTTGACAGCTTTGAAGCATGATCTGGGAAATTCTATCGCTGACTTGCTAGAGAAGGGTCAGAAAGCTGAATGCATGCAGCTCAGCCAAACTAAGGGATACACTTGTTAGAACAAGTCAGCAGTTGGAAAATATAATCAAGATTTCTAATAAATAAAGCATGGAAAACAAATTTGAGCTATTCTGATACTCAAATCAAAGGAAGATCATGCAAATGAACAAAGGCAATATAAAGCATAAAAGTACATGTTGTACTTAAACATTCTGAACCAGTGGCTTGAATATGTTGAAGCTGTTTGTGGTATGTCGAAAAACAAGTGGATTATGTTTGCTGGAAAAGAAGGATCTTACTCGATTATTGAGATCTCTTCGCTGCAGAAGCCACTTAGCTTCAATTACAAACTCATCAAGTACATCATCAACAACATAAGCTGCATCCTTGAGGTCGCTGAGCCACACCTTGATAGGCTCACTCTTCCACTGCTTCTTCTCTGCATCTTGCAGCACGCCTTGAATGGTTCTAAACGTGCGCTTGATATTTTCAAGCTCAGTCTCTAGGCCCCCAGCAAGTCCATGCTCTCGAAGAAATAAGGAATTCAAGTTCCCCACGATTGTACTCACGAGAGCAGAAACAATAGCATCAGCCATAGCTTGTTTTGGAATGGAAAAGAAGAAGTAGAAAAGGTGCAAGGAAAACTAAAAGCAGGGGAGGTGAGCAAGAAATGGCAAGTAAATATTGAGAAGACAGAGCAGTATGAGATGAAAAATGGTAAAGGCAAACAGCAGTCTCTGGTTATATTGATTAGGCTCCACACGGTGCAGGATTGACTTGGCTATGCCTATAATAGTATAATAAAGCAATTGAAGTTTCAGAGAAGGAACATGGCTGTGATTTCAAGCAACTTTTGTCAATTATTGCATGCCTTTTCCTGTTTGAAACCTGGACCTCCTGAGAATCCTTCCTATTTTTGTAACAGAAACGTGATTAACGCTTTTGGCTGTGAATTCTCAAGGGTATTTTTCTTTTCAATGTATTCTCCATTTGCTAGACACAGTGCAAAAAGTTTTTGATAAATGTGTTTTAATCCTCGGTGAGAGTTCATTTATTCTTAATTAAAAAAATAATGAAAAAACTATTACAATTTTTAATGAGTTAATCTATCAAAACATATAATTTGAATTATAAAATTAAACATATAATTTGGTATAACTTCATGTAAACAAAGCCAAATAAATTATGAAATATAATATTTAATTAATTTAATATTGAATCATAAAATTAAAAAAAATTAAAAAAATTGAGATAATCAAGCAACCCTTGATCTAGATTATAAAACCATGATAACTCATAGAAAAAAATAAAAACAAATTATGAAGCACAATTCTCAATCAAATCAAAATTAAAGAATTAATTTTAAAAAAAATCTTGATTCAAATTGGGTTAACTTGTTAAGCCTAAATTATGAAACCGAGATAATTCTATAGAAATTTAAAAAAATTATAAATTCAAATTTTCAATTTGGATAATAAAATTGAAAAAAATTAATTAAAAAAAAATAAAACCTAAAAAATTCAAATCAAATTGGCTAACCTGTAAAACTTATGATCTAGATTATGAGACAATGATAACTCTATATAAATTAAATAGAAAAAATCAAATCAAATCAAATTCTTAATTAACTCAATATTGAAAAAAAAGAGTTAAATTTTTTTTTTTAAAAAAATAAAAAAATAAAGTAAATTCGTGTTAACTTGTGAGAAGCTAAATCATAAAACTATAAAAATTTTATAAAAAATAAATTAAAATAAAATATAAAGTTTAATACCTATTAAATTTAATATTAAAAAATAAAATTTTAAAAAATAAAAATAAAATAAGAAATCTCGCACAGAAAATTGTGAAAATTCAAAGCATTTCAATGTTAATTACAATAGGGTAATGCTCATACCTTTTAGTAAATTTAAAGGATCAAATTATAAAATGGTAACACGTGTCACATTTCATTGTATATTGCTATAATAAATTATCAAGGTTTTTTAATATATGTTAATAATAATTATTAAATGGATGTAGGGTAAATTTATCACTTGCATTTTAAACAAAATTATAATTCAATACCTCTAATTTGATAATCAATTTTATAATTTATTGGTTTCTTTTATTGTATGATGTTTCTAAGTTTACTAACAAATATTTAAAATGTTTTTGGATCCCCATTTTATCCCTTTGTCCCATCACCTATATAATTTTATTGTGTTGTCTTCTCTAATGGTACAAAATAATAGGATAAAATGCAAAAGTCATTTTAAATAAAGATATTTTTTCGGCAATAATATGTATATACACAACTTTTCTAACATGTTTTTATATTTAAAAAAATATAAATAAAAACATCTTTTAATAGTTCCAGGTAATTTTTTTATGCACAGTGGACGTTAGGTATGTAATAATAGGATCAAATATAAAAATTATTTTAAATACAGATATTTTTATGCACAAGTGGACGTCAGGTATGTAAACTGGTAATTTGAACCTATATATTTGCCGATGTTAGCTGGTTTTTCTGTCATTCTAACTGTTGAAACAAGCCCTCATTTCAATGTTAGCTGGTTTTTCTTCGTGGACTTTCTCAGGCTTCCTATTGGTTGGATCCCATCTAATCTTTAGACCACAAGGATGCGTTGGAAACCTTGGACTCCAAGGGTGAGTCATCTCCGCGTGGCTATTGAGGATGAGGACTAGGTGTTCTTTAGTTTTTGTGTTTTAAAAATAATTTTAAAAAATTAAATTTAAATTTATTTTTTATTAATTTTAAATTAATATATTTTTAGTGTTTTTAATTATTTTAATATGTTAATATAAAAATAATTTTTAAAAAATAAAAAAATATTATTAACATATATTTTAAAATAATAACCTATTTGAAATGTAATAACAACCACGATTCTAATATTAAAAATATATTAGAATACCTAACCCAATCCTAGCCGTTGATTGTTTGTCTTCTGGATTCCTACTCTATCTATCTAGCTATCTACCTGATGTAGCTGGATCTAATTCTGAGACAGAGCTCAAAATATTAAAAACTATTTAAAAAAGAAAGAAAACTTATTTTTATTTATTTATATTTAAATAAATAAACATTTAAAATTAACTAATTACTTATTTTTTAAATAATTTTTTATATTAAAAATATATATAAATAATATTTTTTATTTTTAAATAATATAAAAGCAAGTAACGCTTACATTTATATATTCTAAAAAAGCCATACCCAACGAGCTGCTTCAAATAATCTGGTCACCATCAACCTCCAACATCTCACAGAAAAAGAACTAGGCATAAAACAAGCCCCGTGACTTACATAAAAATATATTTCAGCTTCCATCGCCCAGAAACCTCCCTCCGTCCCGCATTTTTTATGGTTTAATTCTATAATAAACTTCAAGCTATTAAGACAATATTGAATTTATATTTAAACTATTTTTATATCAATTTCATTCCTAAACTATTTTAATTATAATCATTCCTGAATTAGAGTCATCAGATCATATGTTGCTACAATGCAATATTCCTATGGGCAAAATTTATTTCGTGGTGCCGGTGAGGTGTCTTTTGGAGTGTTCCTGTAGAAATTTGAAGCAGAGTAATGAAGAGACGAGAGACAGTGCAGTAGCGAAACAGAGTTATTCATTCACACCTCTTCCTCATGCTGTACGTATGTATATATAGAGTGGGAAAACTTGCAGCAAGGAAAGACAATCTTGTGTATATTTTCACTCATGATTATTGCTAAGATTATATACTAATAATAAATACACAATCATATCTAAACTAAATAATAAATAAGTTATACTAGGTAATGATATAATATTGAAGATCTTCAGAATCGCTTCAGCATCTTCAATAGTTCCAAACACACCTTGATGAGCTGCTGTCAATGGTTAGGTTTCAGAGAACGACATGGCAACTCCTGTTATATGGGTTTTGCTTGGAGTATCCGGTTAACCGGAAATAATTTGGTTTTCAATGATATACAACGAAATATGAAGTCATGCTTCTCTTTAACCCTCCACTGGCTGTCCGCATGGTTACAGAATTACTGTGAAGAGCATTTCAATCGCTGCATTCACCAAGTTGATTGGTTCTCATTTTTCCTTTGTAGTGGTAGAAGACATCTATAGACGAAAGCAGCCATTTCTCTCCATGGATGCTATATACTTCATCCAACCAACAAAAGAGAAGTAATATATTTTTCTCTGCACA